AAACACATTTTTCTCCCATTCAGTGGGTGGGAGGCGTGGTCGTAGTTGAAGCAAATTACAGGGCGGTTCGAGAGAAATTTACATTAATTAACTGTCTTGGAGGAGATACAGTTAGTGAGAACGGCGTGTGAAGGGGTGGGGGGGGGAGCAAACTAGGGTTACGAATGAACTTGGAACGGAGTGAATTTATTCTCACCAAAACAGAAAAGGAAACTACGAGATTTCAGCACAACTGCCAAACAGACCAATAAAACGCAATTTAGCCGATGCATTTCAGAGAAAAATATGGTGAGAAGATGCAACGAAAAAAACTCGGAGGATTTTTCACAAAAAAACATGGGCCTCATTGTTGTAGTAGGCGTGGTGTACACAAAGGATTACTTCGTGTGTTAAGTGAGAGTAAAATCGAAAACAGAAAGTAATCAGAAGTTTGCTTTTTAGTAAATCTGAGAGAAGCTAACCAAATGTGTCAGATTAAAGTGTTCAAAAGGGCACAAAGTGAAGAAAGTTTGAGGCAAAAAATATCATACCAACTGGGTGATGCTGCCACCCTCGTCATTAACTTCGACGATCCATGTCTCCTTGAAGTGAAGCGACTCAATGGCTAAAAAGGGGGGTGTTTTGAGGTTGGTTAGAGCTCGAAAAACAAGGACAGAGCAGAGTAAAAACAATAACGGATAATATTATCGGGAAATGAAAAGGCTGGGAACGCGTAATACAGGTGGCCATGCGCTACATTGAAGAAAGACTAAATATTCTCGCGTACTAATCGTAACCTAAGCGTTAACCGCAACAAAACCTTTAAGTCACACCATAGCTCCTCTGATATTTAGCACAAAGCAATTTTTGTTACGGGAATTCCTATTTCCGTCCCCCCGGAGAGGTGAGTTGAGTGTGATCGGTTCCCACCGAATTTACAAACGGAAAGATATAAGAAACAGAGATAAATTTGGAATTTGTTGGAGTAGTAAGGCCTCTGTGAGAACAGACGATACAAGTGATACGCGTAAGTGGCGCTGCTTACCCGAATGCGAACATCGAAGGACATCACGAATAGCATAACGACGAAGGTCACGAGAGAGCCTGCGCAGGACCACGTGGGCGTCTTTGGGAACAATATCAAGAGGGAGGCTGAGACAACAATTGCTAGAAAAAAAAGAGACAGAAAAGACTGGAATTAAACTGGGAGAGTCATTTTCGTCTTCTTCAAGAGTCCTGGTTTTTTCCTTCATTACAGTCGTGTTTTACTGTGTGGGTGGGCTTGCTGCCCGGAGGTCTGACCACTTTGTCTGTGAGTTGGGAAAAAATGGACAGGATAGGAGTGGTCATGAAACATTTTACTGGTAGAGGGTTGTGCAAAGTCGTCACTAAAATTCGGTTATGAAAAAAACGCAAATGCTGTGATATTAAAGGCTCCACAGTGAACACATGTTATTGGATTCGCCAAAAAAGAGTGAACAGAATTTACTCGCTGTCTTCGGCTTATAGCGAACATGCACACGGACGCTGATACGAGAGTAATGGTACTTAGACACTCCAACCAACTTCATGATGAAAAAGTAGCTGAGTGCGTTTGCCTGACTTTCTAGCTATGCATTTCTAGGGGGAGTTCCTAACAGCGTAGTTTGCTGGCCAAATATAGTTCCAGGCAAGCTCTCGGTTAAAAGCCACAAAAATGAACTTATTTTCCCGAATTCTTCCAACAGCCCAAAAAATATTAATAAGACGCTGTGGTGTACGTGAATGGGGGAAGTACCGATAGCTTCGGCCTACAGTTTTCCTATCGCAACACACAAGAGACATTGGATACGAGTTTAGAGGTTCCATCCATGACATGAAGTTTACCCTGGAAAACTGCTTCAGCGCTCTCGGTAGGATAAGCCACGATCTCCAAATTTCCGATGCTCCTTCTGGAAGGCGGGTCGGATAAAAATGGAAGACGAAAGGAGGAATTCGAACTATCCGTCCGCAGGATTTACGGTGAGGTCACCAGTCAGAATGTGCATTAAAACCAAAATAAGTAGAGCAGACGGACAAAGTTTCAGGCACAGTAATTAATTGAAAAGTTTACACTAGGGGTAACCACCACCACGCTAATTCCTTAACACGTGAAATTCTTCCCAGTTTACTTTTTACCC